ACTTCTAACTAATATATTATAGTATTTATAATTCACTAATTAATTACTTCTTAAAAACAATTATCATTATGATTAATATAAATTTTTTTTTATTAATAAACGATAAAATCTGATTTTCTGAATTAAATTTTAAATTTTAATGTTACATAAACTGACCAATAAAAAAAATTTTTTCTATTATTTAAATTATTTTAGATTTGTATTAGCATCAAAGATAAATTATATTAGTTGTTTATAATTTGATAATACTTTTAATGAATTATTATATAAGGATAATAGATAAAAATATATACTTTATATCTAAGTTACTTATTTTTTTTCTCACATAAAATAATCAACTATTAATTTATTTTATGCTTACATAGGACTAAGCTATTAAAATCACCTTACAGGACCCACTAACTAAAATTGAGATTTTTGATTTATATTATTATATGACATATAAATTTTATTTGGTTAAATTTTTATAGTCAATTATCTTATTAATAAAGCAAGCAATTAAACTGTCAAAATTTCTCATTTTATTGTATAATATCAGTTAAAAAATCTAAAATTAGATTTTAGAAATAATTGACATAAAATTTGGAAATAATTGACATTATTATTTAAAAAGTTAAAAAAGTTTCAGACCTTTATAAAATTCAAAATTTTTTAACTTTAATTAATAATTTAAATGTGTATTTGAATGAAGGTTTAGGAGGCATTTAATATCCTAGCAAATATTTTTTTTTAAAAAAAAAAATAAAAAATAATTTTTGTAATATATAAACTTTTTTTAGTAAATTAGTGTAATAATATTCTGTAAGATGATTTTAATAGCAAAATCTCAAGTGATATGAAATTGATTTTAAGTATCAATAAAATTAGTGTAATAATACTTCGTAGGATAATTTTAATAGCAAAATCTCAAGTGATATGAAATTGATTTTAAGTTTTACAAAAATTAATTCTGTAAAATAATTTTAAAAAATAAATTTTATATATTTTATCATAGCAAAATTTTAAATATTTTAAAATAATAAATTTAATAATAAAAATTTTAAATAATAAATTTTAGTATTGTCTTAATAATTAGTTTGACTTAATATTTAAAAATAAAATAATTTATTATTGGTTAAAAATGTTTACTATAATGTAGCATTTTTTTAATCATCATTTACTCAAAATCAATTTCTTATCCTATAAAATGATTTTAATAGCTTAGCCCTCATATACAAAAATACTAAATAAATTCTTTATTTTATTTATTTTATTTAATATGCTAAATATAAAACCTAAATATTTGGTTAAATTTTTAATGGAGTAATCATGTTAGTATTAATGAAATATTATACATTGATTCTAAGAATATCAAACATTAAGATATAAGTTAATAAGCTTATTTAGAATTAAAGTAAATTATATTATTTCTTTCAGTTCATTAAAACTATTGATTCCTTAAAAAATATGAATAATAATTATTTAATCTAAAGGTATTTTTATTAAAGAACTGAATAATACGAAGATTTCTAATATGTAATTAAATTGTAGATCTAATTGTTGATTAATAATGTTCAATCATCCTTTTAAAACTATCTGAAATTCTAAGAGTTTATATATCAAAAATATTATATAATAAGCTAACTATTCTAATAATAAACTAATTATTTTATTCTTTTTTTACCAGATTTCTATTCTATTCCTATCTGTATTTTTTTTATTTCTATCCATATTCTTATTTTCTGTAATATATTATCTTATGTAATTATTATTTTGCTATTTAATAAATTATTTCTTGACAATTATAATTTAATAAATCACTATTCAATAATTAATCTTATAATATTAGTCAAAAAATAAACATAGTAAAATTTGATAAAATATTATAGCAAAATATCTAGAATTTATATAAAATTATAAAATTCTATTATATAGAATTATTGTTATATATATGTATAATTCCTTTATTTTTAAAATTATTATTAAAAATTTTTTTTAAAAAAAATAAAGTAAATTTTGCATATCTAAATTGTTAAAAAAGCTAAAAACTATTTAAAAAAAAATGTTTTTAAATATATTTCAGGGTAAGAAGAATAAAAAAAAATGACCAAAAGAAAAAAATGAAAAAATAATCTATTGATAAATTGATCAATTTTATTTATCTTTAAAAAGTAAGATTTACTTATATAATATTAGATTAATTTATAAACAAACTTAAAATTTTTTGGCTAGAATTTCTATTTAATAAATTTATACATTTTTTTTTTTTTTTTAGAATTTTAAGCTATCACAATATTGATAAGGTGTTTAGATTATAAATTATCTTTTTTTTAGAATTTAAGATTATTGCAATATTAGTAAAAGTATTTAGAGATTACTAATTTTTTTATAATTTTAAACTATTGCAATATTGGTAAGAGTATTTTTAAATTGTTATATTAAAATAATAAAATCAATTTTTCAAAAAATTTTATTTAAAACTTTTAATTAATTATTTTATTTGAATAGAGATTAAATATAAAAATAATCTTTATTAGAGATATTAAGTGGTCTTAAGTAATCCTAAAAAATTACAAAGAATTATATTTACAAATTTATTATAAAACTTGTCTATTATAATATTTTAATAAGCTAGTAAATAAAAATATATAATAAATCCTTTTAGAATCCCAGTATATTTTAAAATTTAAAATTTAAAAACTTAGGATCAGATCCTAAGAACTAGTTCTATACTTAGTAGTTCTATTAAAATTTCTAATTTTGAATATCATTTTCATTTTTTATAAATTAATTATAAAATTTTTATGACATTTTTTTGATAGAAGTTACTTATTATAGATAAATGATTAGAATTTTCTAGAGTTAGTAATCTCTTAAATTATAAGAATCAGTTAAAGATTACTTAATATTCCTAATCTTTATATAGTTTTAGAGCTAGATTATTTCTCCTATGTAAGCTCTTATAAATGCAATTTTCAGTAAGATAAAGCTGCATTTTGTATTTATTTTTTTATTTATTCTTAATACAATTTATAGTGAGATAAAACTATAATTAAAGATAGGCATTGCAATTAAAAATGATGCAATTGAGTTGCAATTAAATTTTCTTATATCACAATTAAGTTGCAACTCAATTGAAATTTGAAAATAATTATGGTATCATCTTTAGTTATAATTTTATATTATTTTTTTAAAATAATTTTATTCTTTTAAAAAAAAAAAATAAACATATAACTATTCAATTACTTGGAATTAAATAATCAAGTTAAACTGATTTACAAATTAGTTTAGATAATCAATCTAATTTAAAAAATGCTATATCATATAAATTGTAAGATGTGTTGATCATTTAACTAGAATTATTTTATTTTGCATTATTATTTGAGAGGTTTTTTTAATCTCTGTCACACAATTATTATTTTTCCATTTTTAAATAAAAATGGGAAAATAACCACATCCTTTTCATCCATACTTTGAATTAGATCAAATCCTAATAATACAACTAATAAAATATGCTGTATACTTGTGTTGTATTAAAGAAATATACAAAATATTACAATAACAAAGAAAGAGTATCATATTTGTAATAAAGTAAAGTATTGTCAGATCACTTAGAAGTTATGAAAATTTTAAAAAAAGATATTATTATTTTTTTGATTATAAGCATAGTAAATTATATGATTTGTGTAATTTTAACAATAATCAAAAAAAAAAAATTTATTTATCATAAAAATTTTATATTATAACATATCCCTATCATATTTTCCGTTATTATTTTCATTTTATTTTAATTTCTTTTACTTTTTATGTATTATTATAATATGCTTCTGAAAACACTATTGATTGTAGCTGATTGTTTAGCCCAAAATAAGTATTTTGTATAATTAGTTGCTTACTACCTGAGTTTAACTTCATTTGGTTTACAATTATGACATTTTTTTAAAAGCAGCATGATTAGAGTTAGGCTTTTTATTTGCTATTGGCTTGATATCTGTAAACTTAAACGATAAACTTTTAATTCAATCCATCGAATTAAATATAAGACAATATCACAATCACGCCTATATGAAGATATGATAAAAGACAATAGTAAATGAATTTAACAATTCTTTTACTGAATTCTTGGTTTATCCTAAAATCTCAACTTGAGTTACTTTTCAACTCAAGGGAAAATACAAGATATTTATATAAAATAAAATAATATAAAATCAACTATAACAAATATAATAAAGAGAATAAATAATATAACTATGATAAATATAATATATATAATAAATAAGATATAATTAATAAATATAATAAATATAATTCATTTATCTAATATATCCACTTGATCAACATTGACAACTTTAGCAACTTTGTCAACTTTGTCAACTATGTCGATTATTTAGATCATATAACTTATTTTTAGCGTAGTCACAGATTATAGTTTCATTGCTTCAAGCTACAGCAAATGATCGAACGAGCTTTTTTCTTTTTTAAATTATTCATTTCTTAATTTTAACATTTTTTTTTTACATTTTTTTTGTCGTGCACTTTTAGTTAAAAGTCTCTTGATCTGAATGCATTGGACCTAGTAAATGCATCATTTAAACCATTTTATTTACTTGCTCAGAAAAAATAGGAAGTCTGATAATTCTCAAAGTACAATATTATGATGATGTACCATCCGGGCTTGATATAAGTTCAATCTATACCTAATGCTTTTTTCCATAACAGATCAAATAATCTCAAAGCTCGTATGAAAGAGAAATTAACCTCATCACAAATACCATCACAAGTTTCAATGATTCCAAACCTCAACTTCATCATCATGGAGCTCTTGGAGTAAACCAAAAATATATAGAGAAATGCATTGTTTTCATTAATTCATATAAGACGATTAGGAAGAGATAATCCTGACCAAAGAGTTTTATGATTCAATCAATAAATAATCAAAGCTAACCAGACACCTTATATATTCATCGATTCATCGTTCAAACAGTTCTTTTGGATACAATTTCTTGACAATCAAAATTATAATGCTAGATGTGGTTAATTCCTTTCTTGCTCCTAAGGAATGGTATTTTTTGCCACCTATAAAGACTGAATTTAGACATGATAGTAGGTAATTAATTATTATTTAGAATAATTGATTTTTTGCTTTACAAGTCTCTACATTTTAAAGTATTTTCGTGATTAAAAAGTCAAATATTTCAATTAATAACTTTATATCAATGATAATGTCAATGGTAAATATTCTATTATGATGGGTAACGTGTCAGATTTTTGTATTTGAATGATAGACAATATCAATGTATTAACGAAGTGGTTAAATATATTGAATAAATAAGCAACTATCATCCTAGCTTCATAAATACAACGCTAACCATATGAGTATCGATCAAATCAGTCGTGCGGAATTTTATATTAAACTTTAGATAATAGTGGTATTAAGGTTTAGAAATCAAAGACAAGTAATAAATGTTAGTTAATTGAATGGTTAATGTAAGCATTCTTTAGTTAGGTTTAAATGTTATGGTGTGTTGATGAGTAATTCAGATGTAATTGCAATTCATATACATATTCCTGTATGTAAATACATAATAATGAATTTTATATTTTTAATATTCTTTAACAAAGTTGCCAAATTGATATCAATCATGTTTTTGTGGATTGCATAATGCAAATTATATTGTACCCAGCAAATTATATAATATTTTATTCATATACGCAAAGACAACTAATTAATATAGTTACTGTAAAAGTTATTTAGAAAATTTACATATGACGTATGATCTTCAAAGAAGGCGATTGCTCTAAACCATCATCCCTTGAGATGTAATAAGATTAAACGATAATATCTTGGTAAAATTAAAGCATATAAAAAAGAAGTTTTATGGATTAGATCTCCAATTTGAGCTGGTGGATTTAACCGTAATTCATTTTCTCCAAATTCTCGTATAGTGGCTTCCACATTTCTTTCAATATATCTTAAAAGGTTTAGCTTATTCATGTTGTGACGGGTAAAATTTTAGATAGATTTAATTGGTAGAATATTAAGTCCATTTTATTGCCATATAGATCTTCT